GACCTTGTAATGGGGATCAGGAGCTATTTTCTGGCTGCCTCCTTTATGAGGAAAGGACTTTGCATGGGGGTTCGCGTTTCCCACAAGCAGACCGTGCTGGGGCAAGCAGCATATTTGCATCTTTCCCTCATATGCACAGACCAGTCCAGACTACCTCAAGTAACCCTAAATTTTCACACGCACTACTCTGAGCTCTCTTGGTAGCTGGAAAGGAAGGCAGGTGGTGACATACCCATCAAGAGCCCCCCTTAAAAAAAAAAAATAGTTTGTACGCATTGTACCCAACATTGCCTCCTGATTACTTCTGCTCATAATTATGTGAGCCAGAAATGAAGCCATGACATTCAGATGAAAGAGAGAGTATGATTTACGCAAAGGAAGGAATCCCACAACATTTATGTCTCCTTAGTGAGTCACGCTTTGGTATCCCTCGTTCTGGGCCGCCACTCACACTGTGTCCTCCGTTTGGCCCAGGAGGAGTTGAGATTACGTGGAACAAAGAAATTAAGGAAGAGAGGAGGTCTGCATTTGATGTACATCCCACAGTAAGAATTCCTTCTCTAAGCGGAAAGTATTACGATCCAATCTTTGCCTCCCGCTACATGTACTGAAGACAGCGTGGGTTGTATGCATGCTGGTGAAGGTAGGATTTTCTCCTGTATGTTTAGCAAGCTAGAAGTATAAAAACTACAAAGCAGCAACCTAGGTCTTGTTCGTTCTTGAGTGGCAGTGTGCTTGACCGTTCAGCCAGTAATTCCAGCATTAAGTGGAAAATAACCATATTGTGATTTTATTTTGCAGACCAAAGCTGCCTCCTGTCAGGGCCACACACAGAACGGTTTTGGCCTCTAAGCAAAGGAGTCATTAGCCACAGTAATGAGGGATGGGCAGTGTCCGGGTGTGAAATGCTAATGTGAGCCACCCTAAACATATTTTAGATGACAGCGTGCACCAAAGTAGTTCAGCCTTGCAGTGCTTCTATGCTTCGAGGCCTGCCCTCCTCCTCCCTTTTTTTTAAAAGTGTTTCAAATATTAAGTAAATCACATTCTTAGCTAAAAAGAGGAACCTGCTATTTTATAAGAGGCAGCAGCACACCCCAAAGCATTGGGTAATTTTAATCTTCTCTAATAGAGCATGTATGCTGGAAGAGACTCCCAAGCTGCATTTGGGGCTTTTCTCTGTCCCTTAGAGGTGCGCCTGCATATTTGTCATTACAGTAATGTGTGCACAGCTGTTATATTTTGTCTGCAACAGCCATGGTAATTGCACTTAAGCACTGCTGCATGTGCATCTTCCATGTGTTGGCATTAGGTTGACACTTTTTTCAACCGGGTCCCATATGACACGTTTTGTATATTAATATTTAGTGCCAGTCTATAATTAGAAGATAATTTTTTCCAGAGCTAATGAAAAGATGCCCTAGCAATCTCTGGATCTGATCCCAAATTCATTAATACAGTTCAAGTGATTCCATTTTATTTTATGTGGGACAGAACAAAAAGTTGGAAGGAGGATGCTGCCAAGTATTTCCAACCACGAATATGCTGAAAATCCTGGTGAAAAAAGGATGGAAGAATTCATCCTGTATCTGTCCTTGCTACATCCAACTTGGAGAGAGAGTGGGAAAATTAAATGAGTAATACTTCCTGAACTATGATGGCACATTGATGGAAATATGGCAAAGAATTTGCTCCCATGGAAAAATTAAGAAAAAAATATTTCTATCATCATAATGAAGACTTAAGCCGTTACTATGAGTCATTAGTGCCAGTTCATAGAGCCAAAGGTGATAACTGCAGGGACACGGGGAGCCTCAAATGCACTTCTTCCTTGCGCACCAGCCTTTGCATGTAGATTCCTCCCATGCTGTCTGATCATGCCAAGCTGGAGTGACTTATTTGTGACCAAACATTTGGCTCCATTTCACATCCAGTATCTCCAAACCCAGACTCCACATCAAAATTAATAGTTCCCAGGACTTCCACACCCAGCTGTCATTGTGGTGCCCAGAAGTACACTTGATTTAGCACCGAAGAGCACAGGTTAATGACTAGCAATGTGAAAGGAGTGCTCGGAGGGATCCTGACCCAGCCCAACCACACTGTATTTTGCTCGGCGCCAGCGCACCACCCGCTCTGTGCACTCCAGTCTGTCTGGATAAAGTCCTACAAAAACAACTAAGATCCTATCAAAATGCTTAAAAAAAAGGCACCAAACAACTCCCGTGGTGTAGGTATGCTGCATTTCCAAACAGGAGCTTAGGGTTTGGGGCATACCCATTTGCAGTGATTGGTGTTTCCACAGACACTTGTGAAAAAGGAACATCGCTTAGCTGAAAACCCAATTTTCGTAGCAAAGCAGCGTGAACGAACGTTTTTGATCAGGCCTTGCGGCTACGCAACCTCTCCCTTTGGGACAAGCAGGTCGCAGGCGAGCCGGCAGAGCCAGCGGGGCTCGCCCGGCGGCTGA